CTTGAGTTATGAAACTTGAAAGTTACAGTACCGTCGACATTAGCATTATCCAAGGTGTCCGAACAATGGCTGAAACCTTTTGAATGTTGTTCAGGATCATGATCTTGACAACATGTGTCAAGGCCATAATCATTGAAGATTGTTCTCTTATTTTCATTTTGATAATTATTTTTATTTTTTGAAAATAAGAGAAACAATCTTCAATGATTATGGCCTTGACACATGTTGTCAAGATCATGATCCTGAACAACATTCAAAAGGTTTCAGCCATTGTTTGGACACCTTGGATAATTGCTAATGTCGATGGTACCTTAACTTTCAAGCTTCATAACTCAAGATTTACTTAATCAAAATATATTTTATCTATGTGTTTTGGAAAGCTCTCGAAATAAACTACAAGAATATGCAATGAAAAATAGGGGGTTCCATTTAAAAAATTCAAAGTGCCCTTGTCCTGACCTTGACGACGCCACTTAGGGTTAAACCAATGTTATGTCCCCCTCAAAGCCATACAACTTTTGTCTGAAACATTTTTTTCTAAGATCAAAAATAAAAAAGTTATTTGGGGTGGGACATTAAAATGAGACACCCTGTATACATATATTTAACAGTCGCATAGACATTACATTTAACCGCTCGTATTTAATAAATATAAATATCCTGTTACATACACATTTTATCAAACATTGTAATCATATAATTTATATTATACAACATATACGTGATATTGTAATCTTGTAATAAAATATTTTTACGATGTTTTTCCGCAACTTTTAAATACTGTATGTTTATATATGCTAATATACATTTTTGACAATACTCTGTGCTCCATAAAACACCGGTACCCATGATACTATAGTATAAAAAACTGTCAGGATGTAAACTTGAAATAGTATTTTCCATTTTATATTTGTCCATAATTAACGGTTTAGATACATCATGTATTCCAAGTGATATAAAACCACCACCCCATGCAATCCACAGGCCAGTCCATTTAGTACTAAGTAATATCTCGGGTGTATTTTCGAAAAAATGTATCTAAAAATATATATTAATTAGATACTAACAACTACATATTGATTGTTATATTAATACTTTTAATGTATATATATTCAGGAAAAATTTTTTTACATATAATTATAGATACACGGTCTGTCCCAAAAGTTTCCGAACGTTCATTAAAGCTCATTCTGTAAGATAATAATTATAAATGTTTACTTATATAATCATTCAAAATACATCCCTTCCGAAGGAATACATTGTTTGAGTAATACGACAACAATCGTATAGCTTTAAAAAACTCCGCTGAAAGTCTTTTTTTGAAATAGTCGAAATAGGCCGAAACCTTCTGAATGTCCAAAATAGTGTCGAACTGCTTTCTCTTCAGCTTTATTTTAACTTCGGGGACAAAAAAATAGTCACATGGTGTCAAATCTAGTGAATGAATATACGGGATGATCAAAATTTACGATTGATTCGGAAGCAGGAATTTACGCACGGTGGTATACTTGTGAATCGGAGCAATGTCATGCAGAAGCTGATCGCATCAATTAGCTGCTTTGCGCTCGGTATTAAGGATGAACCCAACCAATTCTTGCCAGCAAACGCTTTATTTCACACAGAATTTAATATTTGCTACTTGCTCCGTTGTGATTTTTCGACGTATATCACAAAAGTATTGTCGGTTTTATATTTGTATTAGAGAGATTTCAATTCAACTTACAGAATTTGTGAACGAAACTTCAATGAAGATAGTGCAATCTTATTTATAGACAATACCATTAATACCTTTCATACGAAGAAAGTTTGAAAACTTTTAGATCGTATACGTAAATGATTAGGTTCACATATAAAGTATGTCCATATACATATACATATAATTATAGTTGTACATAATTATATACATAATAGTTATACATATTGGTGAAAAAATGGCAAGCTATAATTAATTTAATTCTATTGCTACAATAAATTTATTAATTAATGTCACACTCCAGATTACACAAAGTGACGGCATAATTATGATCAAAAAAAGATAAAAATTTATTTCATATTCAATTCGAGAAAAAAATTCACGTGGTTCTCAAACAGTCATCTATCTCAATCCATATTCATCTAGCGTTGTTTAAATTTAAAATCAATAATAAAAACTGATACTTCGACGATCCATGAACATTGAATGTTAATGAAGATATACCTATCACAACCCTCGTTAAAAAGAACTACTAGTGCAGTGATAACACTACTACATTTCAGTAGTGTTTTTACTGCACTAGTAGTTCTTTTTTATCAGGGAAATCAGTTTTAAGGAAATAATTATCCAACTTATGTGTTATAGGTCAAGTTTTAATACTCTCTTTTATATTAAACAAATTCAAAAATAAAATTAAAATAAAAAATCAAGCTCGAGTATTGTAAGACAATAGAAAAAGTTTAACAGCCAAGAAACAAGCAATAACAGATTTGAAATAAATAAATAAATAAAACATCCTTTAATGTTAAATCATAAAAACGTTTCGTACTTCACAAAGTCTTCATCAGTTTATAGAATAAATAATATTTAAATCATTGAAATTAAATAAAAGTATAGTACTGAATTAAAGTCATAAATAAATTAAAAGAATAAGAAAAAGGAAAAACCGAACATGATAAAAGTTTTACAGAGTTAAGAGGCCATATTAAACTACGAGATATTTATAAAGTCCCACCCGGGCCTAATATCTCGGAAACGGCTTTAAATATGGAAAAATATTTCAAACAAAAGTTGTTTGAAGGGAGACATAAAATGGTACCGTTGGTTTGACCTTTGGTGGCGCTATTAAGGTCAGGGAAAGGTCATTTCACATTTTTTAAATGAAACTCCATTTTTTATTACATATTCTTGTAGATTACCTCGAGAGCTTTTCAAAACACTATAAATAAACTTTTTTTTAATCAGTACTTTTAAAGTTATGAGGATTAAAAGTTACAGTACCGCCGGCATTAGCATTATCCAAGGTGTCCACGTGCGGTCGAAAGAATAGGGATTACCACCCACTATTACCCACTACCACTCAAGCGTATGAAGTAGTCAAAGACGCATTATCTACGTTAATTGATTGCATTCGGAAGAAATTAACATTTCTTCAATTCAAGTAAAGGAATATTACAATTTTCTTTCAGTATTTGAAAACCTGTAGCTGGAAAAAGTATTTTCTTAAAATGAAGACTTTTCCTTCTCTCTATTTCTTTTTCTGTTAGTGAGCGGTAGTAGTCGGAAGAGAGTTATATTCGATCTTTTCTTTTTTTAATTATTATACTATATTTTCTTTTGTCATTTTTCTGAAATAAGTTTTAAATTATGCCGCGATGTAAGGGAGATAAAGTGAAAATTATTTTTCTTTATGGGGAATGTTGCTGCTCTTATTGTGCAACTGCGAGGCGTTTTAATGAGCTCTATCCTGATCGTCCTATTGATTATAAGTACGTCTCTTACTTGGTGACCAAATTTCGTGAAACTGACAAGGAAATAGCGCGAATTGTAAAATGCCAAATGAGATGGCCATAGCCCATTTGAAAGAGGGGGTTGCATGTAACACGATAAAAGGGCTTGCCTGAATGGGCTTTGGTTTCTGAGAAAATTACAAATAAAGTTGGTCGTTCGATCAGCTGTGCGATAAGTATCTGAACCGTGAGTCAGTAACCAAGAAAGCGGCGTAGCTGAACAGACTAAGGCGCACGGTGTTATTTTTCTCGCGGCTAACGAGAGTTCGATACAAGTTCGCATCTCCGCGTCAATTTTTTTTATGTAAACGTTATATTTTTGCTAAAAAGAAAAAGATAAATTAATTATATTTTCTAATATAATTAATTTATCTTTTTCTTTTTAGTAAAAATACTAATCATTATGCAATTTTCGTTATAAATAATAATAAATAACAAGAGTTTTAAAAATTTTAATTATTTATTATAAAGTTTTGTGTGTGTGGCATTGCCATACAATTATTTATTATAAAATGTTGACATTGCTGTACAATTTGCGTCGGACCCTATGCAGCACGCAGATACTTGTTAGAATCTTCTCGAACAAAGACACAAAGAAAAGGTGTTATCGACATTCTAGATAGTATATAAATAAGTAACAATATTTTATTATTATTTTTACCGACCATTCCCAATGTTTTTATATTGATTTTCATCCACAAAATTGTACGGCAATGTCAACATTCTATAATAAATAATTGTATGGCAATCTCACACACACAAAACTTGATAATAAATAATTAAAATTCTTAAAATTCTTGTTATTATTATTTATAACGAAAATTGCGGAATAATTAGTATTTTTGCTTTAAAAAAAAGATAAGTCAATTATATTAGAAAATATAACGTTTACAAAAAAAAATTTGACACTGCGGGGACGCGAACTCGCTTCGAACTCTTGTTGGCCACGACAAAAACAATACCGCGCGCCTCAACCTGTTCAGCTACGCCACTTTCTTGGTTACTGACTCACGGTTCAGGTACTTATCACACAGCTGATCGGACTGATGACTAACTTTACTTGCAATTTTCTCAGAAATCAAAGCTCATTTACGCAAACCCTTTTACTTTGTTTGTACATGCAACCCCCCTTTTCGAATGAGCTATGGCTCATCTTATTTGGCATTTTACAATTCGTGCCATCTCTTTGTAAAAGTGTTAAAGACTGGCCATGTAGCGGCAGACTAACCGACTTACACAATGCAAATAACACCCGCGCGGTACAATCCGTAAAATTTTGGAAAAATTATAAATTTCATCCTTACAAAATGCAAATTAAACATGAACTTGTAAATGGCGATTTTGAACACCGTAGTTTTGTGAAATAATGACCGCGCTCATTGCAGAAAATGAACATTATTTGAAAAATCTTTGTTTTAGTGACGAAAGTACTTTTTAAGCGGTGAAATAAACAAACATAATATTAAATATTGAACCAATTTCAATTCACACATTTTGAGAGAGCGACATACGCAATGGTCTCAAAAGTTAAACGTTTGGGTGGGCATTTTAAGTAACTACATAATTGGACCCTTATTTATAGATGAAAATTTAACAGGCGAACTTTATTTAACATTGCTGCGAAATGTCATTGATCCTTTGATAACCCAAATTGTTGAAAAAACGCTGTTAACGACGATGGTCAATTAGGATTCGATGTAGATAACATTATTTTTCAACAGGACGAATGTCCTGCACACTACCATCGTGACGTGCGCAATTATTTGGACAAAAAATATTCAAACAGATGGATTGGGAAGAAGGGCTCGATTGAATGGCCGCCACGATCTCCAGATTTAGCCTCCAATGACTTCTTCTTATGGGGCTATTTAAAATCAGTAGTTTTCAAAACACCTCTAGTTACAATCCAAGATCTTCAAAATAGGATAATTATAACTTGTAGAGATATTCCTCCTCAGACATTTCAAAATGTAAGGAAAGAATTTCACGATCGCTTAATTTACTGCAGGGAAGCCAATGGTGCTCATTTTAAGCATCTTCTGCAGTAACAATATAGAGATACTTAATTATTTTAATGTTAAAAAGAGGAGAAGAAAAATGATGAAAAGAGAGAAACAGAGTAAAAACTTCGACTGAAGACCTCCCCCCTCCACACACACACACACACACACACACACACACACACACGAGGTATTAATCCGACCGACAATCTCCATGTGGTATACTTTGGCTAATGCTAATGCCGGCGGTACTGTAACTTTTAATTCTTATAACTCAAAAAATACTGATTAAAATAAGGTTTATTTAGTGTATTGAAAAGCTCTCGAGGTAAGCTACAAAAATGTATAATAAAAAATGGGGGATTTCATTGAAAAACTTTGAAGTGACCTTTCCCTGACCTTAACAGCGCCACCAAAGGTCAAACCAATTATACTATTTTATGTCCCCCTTGAAGTCAAATAACTTTAGTTTGAAACATTTTTCCACATCTAAAGCCGTTTCCGAGATATTAGGCCTGGGTGGGACTTTATAAACACTCTGTATAGGTATACATG